AAAAAAAAAATTAATTATTATGAATTCCGTTGCACTTGATCTTAACTTAACTAACACAAATAAGTAAACTAAATACAAAACTTATATACAGTAAATAAATATAGTATAAGTAGATGATGGAAAAAATATTTGGCATTAAGATAATAGGACTTCAACTGAAAAATAAGTTGTTAATAATTTTTTGTCTCCGTAAGTCATCTTATCAAATTGTTGCTGGGGAAAGAGAAAGATTTTCATTTATATAATGATTGAAATTTAAATAAGAATCAAAAATACATGACAATTATTAGAGTGAATATTATGAAAACAATATTTCTCAATGAAATATTTTGAATTTCTTAATTTACGTTAGAAGTTCAAACAACGCATTTATATAATCGTATAGCCATTTAAAACTTGGCCAGGAAACCCTAAAAAAAAATAATGAAAAACATCGACAAATTCAAAATAAAAGTTTCTCTTTTGAAGTACCTATCTGTTTGTTTCATGAAACGAATAATGCACTAGGAAATMCCCATTGTTCTCCAGAACCCAATAAAAATACAATTTGTATTGAAATTCTTGTGCTAGCTGTGCATTACATTGTGATAAATTTTTCACAAATAAACGGCAGAAAACTATTAAACTAATAAGTTCTATTTAGATAACTATAAATCATAATACCGAGTTCRGTGTACTGATTTAATCACTGTTTACGCATAATATTTTTTATATCAAATCTTTATTTTCATGTGCATTATGTCTGTCATTTCGAAAGTACAATAATATTTTTATTTACACAATAGAATTAGGAATTTGAGCCGATGAAGGGAGAATAATYTAACGCACCTTCAAATCGACCGTCTCAAATTTTAATTTTTAATTTGTATTTCATATGTGCATCTGCTATTGTGGACAGTAAATGGCCACATCACTCGTGTCATTAGTCATCTGCACGAAGACTGGTTTTCCTGGCACTAAAATTTTCAAAACTCTTCACCATTTGTTCAAAATTGATAATTACTATAGTTCTAACCAATTTTTACGAAATAATTTCCCTTTATGTACGTTTTACTAGTTGTATCCAGATTAAATCTTTCTCTTTTTTCTAAACACTAATTGTTTCATTATTTAAACCACTATGTGCTAATCATTTTATAAAATATATCAAACAATTTCCTTTTGCGAGTGAAACCTCGTCTGTTATGTAATCGAAACCTATAARCACACACAATCGATATTATCAACTTTAGATTTTCGTAAAATAAATCATAATCCAGCCTTGTAGTAAACTAGGTAATTAACTTTGTTCACATTTAACACATATAATTTTTTTTCATCGGAACTCAGTTTAGATATATATTGGGAAGGTCCTAAAAAAGGCTAACACATTCGTTGAACTTCTAGTATAGTTATTTATACCAATGACTCCTCCCTCCATCTAACCCACTACAATAACAAACTACCCAATTGCATGTTGCTCGTCATATTATAATGGGTACGTATGATATATTTTTGTCAGCCAACAAAAACGCGACTGGACAGCTAGAGGCCCAGCACTGGAAGGACATGTTAAGCAAACCGAAACAGAGCGTGGAATATTGGCACCGATTGAAACCTGAATAATTTAAATATTATCGATATTATTGACCTTATTGTTATTATTATTATTATTATTTTTATTATTATTATTATTATTATTATTATTATTATTATTATTATTATT